CACCACGCTCAGCCAGTGAGCAAACCGGCCATCCCTATGTGGGATCCGAACCCATGGCCTTAGTGTTATCAGCACTTCACTCTCCCGAATGAGCCACGGGCCGGCCCTAAAGAGGGCATTTTGGATGAGCAAGACATTGCCAACTTACCAGACGAGCCTTTCCAGGTAAGCTGTTTCCAGAACTAAATGGCAAAAATGCTACCCTATTCTCCTAAAATCCCAATCTCTTAAATTTCTTTTGGAAGATTTTCATGCATATTTGATTTCTTTAAATCCCCTTTCAGACTCACAAGTTATGAATGTATTCCTCCAGATGGAGGACAACTTCCATTTGACATTTACGTTCAATTCTTCCTTCTTCTCTTAGAAGAAAATTGGAGATAAACGGAATAAATTGCCTAAAGCTGCAATAATATTATGCATAAATAATATGAAATACCTAATATTGAACCCAGAAAAGTGTTAGATATAGTCCCTACCTTTTAATACTTCCCTTTATCAAGGAAAGCAAACAAACTTAAGAATGATATAAAGCCAGATGTAAAAAGTAGAGGCAAACAGAGCAGGAGTTGCATAGCCAGAGGCCAGAAAAATCGTCCCAAAAAAGGTAGGATATGAGAAGAGCCTCAAATAGAGAAAATGAAACCTTGGTCATGCTTGGTTCCTGCTTCCTCGTTCTCCCTTCCTCTAATCAATCAAAACTTAAATTCTAAATCCATTCATCCTCTCCATCTCCCCTTCCTGTAGCACTCATTATCTCTGTCCCTAGACTGTTGTAGATTGTCCAAAAGGAGCTACAGGTCTCAAGCTCTCCAAGCCACCTTGTACAAGCTCAGTCCACTTAACCGTATGCTTGTTCCAAATGCAAACGCCTGCCCTCCCATCTCTGCAGGCATTGCCTGTCCCTTGAGAGCTGCCGGCTTACTGAATAAAGCCTGAGCTCCTTAACATGGCACAGAAAGCTTTTCTTGATCAAGTCCCTTCCCGTCCCTCCAGCCTCATCCCTTCCCACTCCAGCAACACCAACTTGCTCAAAGGTCCCCCAGCACACCATGATGTTTCCCAACTCCATGTCTTTATTTTTCTTTACTCAAATTCCTCTTCCCCACTAGCTCCACCTCCACAACAAACATCCCAAGCTGAGGAAGGTGCTCTTTCTCTGTCCTCCCGTCATTTATTTCTCTGCCTTTCTTCACTATTGCATTTACCACAGGACAGCCACCATGAATATATCCGTCTTTGTCAGTCAAGTGTGACCTCCCTGGAGCTGTGGGTTACTCATCTTTGTATGCTCAACTCCCAGCTTTTGTGCCCGGCGTATAGGAGATGCTCAAAAAATATTTGTTAAATGAGTAAATTAATCATTGAGCTTTTAAAAAAAAAATTGCCCTCTCTCTGATTGGTGAATAGGCACCATTCTAGGTACTTCCATTTAGCAGTAATGAACTATTATGGGAAATAGATTTCCACAGTGATGTGAGGTACAACCCCACTACATTTCATATTGGCTGGATTGATAGAGACATCCAGGAGGAAGAAGACACTTGATACTTAATCCTCACACACACCTCTGTGAGCCTGACGCTACTGTCCCCATTCGATAACTCAGAAGACGAGGATTTACACATACAGCACCCACTAAATGATGACCTTCCAACTGGAACCCAAATAAAAGGCCTAAATGTACTCCAATTAGTTCTTCCTAACTTCTAAGTAATAAAGATATTCTCCAGGACTGTAGTCCCAATCTAAAATGCAAACATAGTTCAGAACCAGCCAGCCTGTACCCTACTGCTATACCATAAGCAGACACCCTGCCTGGTGGGCCAAGTCTATTTCAGGACTCACAGAAATTATCTAGGCTGATAAGAGCTATCTGGTCTGAAATGAAGTATGTGCCTTCTCAAATAATCACTGCCACTCTCGTAATGCTGGACTATGCCCAGCTGCTTTCTGAGAAAGCATGAGGTGGTGAAGGAAGATGTCACAGCAGCAATGGCAGGAGGCACTGACACCCCCAGGCTCAGGGAAACAGCATGAGCAGGTGCTCCCCCTGCCGCTTTCCCTCCTGCTCTCCCAGCCACAGTGGGATCTCTGGTGTATTTTACACCCCGGAGCTCCACAGAAAGTCTCTTACTCCTACTCAGTTCTGGAGACAGACACTGACTATTGCTACCCACACTGGCACTTGCTCACTGTGCTTCAGCCATTCTGGCCGCAGCACAGACCTGCTAGTTGTCTCCCAGTATCAATCATTCTCCTTCTTTCCCCAAATGCTAGTCGGGCACAAGACCATCCAGAATGAAGAATGAAGGCTACATTTGCCAATCCCACTTGCAACTAGGTATAGTCATGTGACCAAATTCCAGCTAATGAGCTATAACCAGGTGATATATACAACTTCCAGGAAGTTTCCTTATGAAGGGAGGAAGATGTGTCCTTCTGTTGTTTCCTCTCTCCTGCCGGCTAGAATACAGGTGTGATGGGAGGCGCTAGGGCAGTCACTCTGGGTCACACCTGTTTCAAAAGATGGAAGCAATATGCGGAGGACAGTAAAACAGAGAAGCTGCCTGAGTATTTGATGAACGTGGAGCCACCTATTGGCTCTGAACTGCTTTTTTAAATAGGAAACACGTGTAAACTTTTTTCTTATTCAAAGAGCATTATTTTGGGTTTTCTGAAATCTGCAGCTTAACCCACCCTAACTAATATACTTGCCTCCTTTTACTTCATCAAAAGTGCCAATCTTTTTCCCACAGGAGTGTCCCTATCACAAAGTTTCCTGCAGGAACACTCTCCCACCATTTCTGTTCCTTCCCTCTGCCTTGGCGAGAGGAGCTCCCACTCTTTCTGGTCTCTCCAGGAAGCTCCCCTTACCTTTCTAGGTCAGGTATGGATTTTTTCATACTCTCATGGTAGTATTTCTCTTCACAGAACTTTTGTGATTAGATGTATTATTTGTGCCATTATTTGTTTAATATCTGCATATTCCCAAAGACTGCAAATAACACAAAAGGATGGAACCCAACCATTCTGTTTATTGTTGTATGCCTTACTCCCACACAGTGCCTGGCACACCACAGGCACTTAATTATTATAGAGGAAAGGGAAAAGAACCATGAGGTGATGCGTGCTCAACCTATTTCATATCAATAGGGGGCTGTCTATCCCAGAGCTCTTCCTTTCACTCTTTAGGTACAAGCCAAAGCTTCAATCTTGTACTAAAAAATTAAAAAAAAAAAATCAACCATGAAATGAAGGATGTGGCATTTTTGGTTGCTAAGAATCAAGTCCCAGTTGGAGCTTCCCACCCTCAAGTGTCACAGAAGGTAAGAAACACCAGCCTGTTTTTGTCCTCTCTTCTCAGGCACTCTCTAAGTCTCTTCTCTCCAGATGGCATGATGACCTCATACTCCCCACTGGCACAGCACACCCCAGCCTCATCCTCACCTTCTGGGTCAGGCCCAAGCCATCCTGTCCCTCTCCCTCAGCCACAGTATGCCCATGAACTTGTCTCCCATCCTTCCCCCTCGGCCTCATAGTGGTTCCTCCTGCAATCTGCACACAATGCCAGACCCAAGATGCCACCTGGGAATACTGTGATTCACCCCACAGGCTCCACCACACACACCTGAGGTAACAAGGTAGCTCTGATTCTCATTTGACTACCAAGGGCCCAAGTGCAGCACCTCCCAGCCACAGAGTCTCAGAAACCAGGAAAACATGCTCCAAAACCCTGCGTGACTCCTCTGCTCCCTTCTGTGGTGACCTGTGAGCTTTGGGGCTGCTAGTCAAGCCTCACGACAGCCTCAGAAGGCTGGGAATTTCTCTTGTGGCCAGGGCTGCAAGCCTACAGCCCTTTTCTTTCCTACGCAATCTCTTCCCCGCAATCAATAGACGAGTGAGCGACACGCTGTGGTGACTGTCCTAACCAGCACAGAAGAGCTGCCTGACCACAGTAAGCATCGGCCAGGGCACAGAACTGGCTGAAAGCAACACATTCAAAAACACGCATGCAGTGAACCTCACACATACTTTATCATTAAAGGGCACATTACAGATACTTTGTCTGAAGCCTCACAGAAACTCTGTAAACGGGGTAGAACAAATATATTATTCCTACTACAAGTAACTGTTGCAAGCTACAGAGCTGGGGCATATTTCAGAAAAATGCTTCTTGGCGGTAACACAGCTTCATGTCCAGAGATATTCCTCACAACGGTGCCTCCCGTTCTGGATATTTCTATATCTTCTGGGCATCTAGTACATGCCCTCTCCAGGCTTCTTTGTGGGCACAGAGCTGGGGCATATTTCAGAAAAATGCTTCTTGGCGGTAACACAGCTTCATGTCCAGAGATATTCCTCACAATGGTGCCTCCCATTCTGGATATTTCT